TTGATCACTAAAAACTCAGATAAAATGAACAATGAATACATCTGTGTGAAACTGTTTAACTGTGTTCTAGGCTTACGATCCGCTACAAACTTTTAATACCCAGAGCAAGCTAAGGTAAAAAATGGCACCTGCCAAACCACCCATGTCTAGCATAAGCAACAAATCCTTTAACATCCTTTTCAGAATCCAGCTTAGCAAAATATTCAAAATTTATGTCCTTAAATATTTGAAGAAAGTAGAAGCCACGATTAAAATTCACGCACAATAATATGCCTCGACGGGGAGTCGAACACCGGTCCACGAATTTCCGGTCAGGAACTTCGGGATATTGGGAAGTGACGAGTGAGTGGGCCAATCTGCAACATCAGGACAGGTACTGTGAGCTTATTGGCAACACGTTGCGCACCAAGCAGAAGACATGTGTTAAAATTTGCGCACCTAATCGTCAGCCCTCGGTAGCTCAGGTGGTAGAGCAGCGGATCGGAAATTCGTGGACCGGGGTTCGACTCCTCGTCGAGGCATATTATTGTGCGGGAATTTTAATCGTGGCTTCTACTTTCTTTGAACTTTACACTACTCACAAACATCCATCCTTAAATATTGCAGCATCATTTAGGGTATTATGCGTGTTAATGATAGGAAAGCTCTGGAAAAGGGGCAAGGCTTATCTAGTAAACTCGTGATAGGTAAATCGTCCAAATTGAGCTATCAGAACAATTGTTAGCTGTTTAGGATCCAGCTCCATTGGTTGCGTCAACTGAAGCAACCTGATGATACTACGCAGTTAGTGCACAATAAAGTTGCAACAGAACCAGCAGGAAACTACGCAACAAGACTTGTAAACTAAATGTGCAAGGAACAAGCCTAGATATGCGATTCAGTTTCTTCGTCGTTGGATACGCTATAGTATGGAATAGCCTACCAGCCACAATCGGGTCTTGTACAAATGTGAACATTTCGCATTTAACTGAAAGATTTCCTGGACCAACATTTAGTTTGCATCGGCTAAAGCACGAAATGAGTTCTTCCAGTATGGAACAGTAAATCTATAAACTGTGAGCAAATAAGTTACAAAATACGTAGCGAAAACAAATATTAAATGCTTCAAAGTGTTTAGCGTCAAAAGGCTAGCATACATATCTCACTTAATCATCAGCAAAATCATTACTGTAAGCATGATCAGTTCCCCAACTCAGGGACAGCTTTTTCGCACGCCCAAGGAATTTAAGTATTATCATTATTAACAACAATATTTATATGTGTATACTCCATGTGTGTGAAGCCTTTATAATCTGCAAATAGAAAGCACAGTCTGTGTAGCTTTTGAATGTTTTACCAGCGCGCATCAATACTTGCATATTACCTGTGGGCACGGGTCAGGATAAGACTACCATTTATGGACGGCATTAGTATCAGAAATACTGCTGGGTCGAACAGCAACAATGTGCATGTAAAACACACGTGGACTGGACAACGTATTTAATTTTACCATGCGGTTCCTTTATATTGCAAACGGAATCTGGTTCACACCCTTGCTTTAGGGTGCGCAGTATTTCTACACACTGGATACCATTACCGAGAACCAGCAGAAGCTAAGCGACACCCTAAAAGCAAATAAGCATCTGGGCTTAGGGTGTACTCATGATGAATATACGTACATCTTCGGTAATTCTGATCGTGAACAAACCATATACGATCAGAAAGTGCGCCGCGTACTCAATGCCTGGATTAAATTTGAAAACTTTAAGAAAATGGGGACATAATCTTTTGCGAACCATGCATATTTCGTCAACCGAGATTGCTCTAGTCATTGCGTGATATAACGCAACAAATGTTATAGTTTGGCTTCGGGGGCAGAACAAACTCGCAGCTAGGTGGCTCATTGAGTACCCATAAAAATAAAGTACTGCTCAAACCGATTATTGCAATGATGAACCCACATCAATTGTAATTAGCTCTCTGGTTAGTGCAGGTGGTCAATTTGCTGAGACAATTGCACATTACTTATGGTAATGGGTTACATTTTTAGTCATTGGAAACCTAGGTAAAATCAGCCTATAAAGCAAAGTTGTTATGTTCTTCATATACTGATTCTGTGAGTACCAGTGACCCACTAGCTAAGACCTCTGATTACGTGTGCGCATTAGCTGAAAGCTTTGACTGCTTATTGCAATTTCTGATTTATTTGTTAAAAAATCACTGTAACAGCGAATGGAAAATCTTGACTAACGTTTTGAAACACAATACCGCCTAATCTATGGCGTACCGGTAGATAGCACCCTAGGATTTTTAAGCGCTATTTACATCTTGATGCTAGAACGAAGAATTTAGACGGGCCTAGCACAAATACTCAAACGTAAACTTCGTGCTGGTATTATTTTGTCATTTCATCGTCGGAACATCAATGTGTATATTTGGTAGAGCGCCTTAACAGGGAATATGTTAACTTACTTGTTATTTGCGCTGTAACGGGGAATGGTTGTGCACTTCAACTAGACGTCCCCAGCATTTGCAGGGCAGATAAATTAAATGAAAAGTTCCTTTTACTTAAATTCAACTTGACCATTCGAGTAATTGAACCTCACTAGCTTTCAAGCAATATGATACAAGAGGATACTTGTGAATACCCAGTTAGTTGTAGCAGAAGAATTCGATCGGCCGACTTTCTGGCCAATGAACTAACCTTAAGTACAGGAACACTCTTGGAGACCGTTTAAGTACGCAGATTTAACCAAAAATACAGCTAAATTCGAGACCCAATTGCTTTGTGCAATTGGTAGCCAAGAAGATAGCCTTATCCCGAGGTAACTTTACAAAATAATTCTACAATGCCCATAAAAAACTATTTTGCAATATTGGCTAAGCATGCAAGTTGCTGCGTTGCTCAAGCGGTCGTAATCAAAGAAAACAAATTGTTGCCGGAAATGTGAACGAAGTTGCTTCAGTCCATGAAGACTAACTCACACTGTGTATACCAATTTATGGAAAAATGTAGATGAAAGTGCACAAGCAGAACTAATAGGACTCAGGCAACCAGATAAAAGGAAAATGTGCCGAAGATGGTTTCAGCATGCAATTGCTCGAATTCTTCATATCCTCAGCCCCGTGCTTTCTTTATCATCAAATACTTCTTGGTATCAGGTCAACGGATATCCATGAGCAGAGCATTCATATTTTTGCTGCGCCAAGCTATTTCCAACTTTGTCCGGCTAGCCGGCCTGATTAAGTTAGGTTAGATGAATCCAGTCATGTAGGATTCAAAACGTTTATTTGTCCGTTTAAAGCTTCCTTATACCTAGGAATTAACTTTCTCCTTAACTTCCCACTTCAAGCGTCTTGTTGCACACAATATTGTCCATATTAATGTATGTCCATTGGTCTTAGTGGTATGGAAGATAATATAAGAAATGCATACAACTCCCCGTTTTCGCCTTTCGCACTATTGATAATATTTGTTAGCAAAACACTGCTTTCGGATTTTTCGAAGACGTTGTACCTCATTTCATAATATTATTGATCAATAGCTTTTTAGTGCTCCTTTGTGGAGTAAGGCATTTTAGGAATTATGGTTTTTTACTGACCTTGAGGGTCGTAAGTAGGGCTGCAAATGCATTTTAAGATTTAATACATTATCAGTGCGTTTGCTGGGATACATGATCAGACTGACATCAAAAGCAAATTTACTAACACTTCCGGCTTGAATGTTCTATGGTATATGAGAATTCCAGTTGACAAAACTTTAACAATGGACTATATTTTTTGAAGAGAATGAGTTCAATTTTGCCATTCCGACCAAGTCTGGCATAAAGGTTTGTTCTGAGTAGTATAAAGCTTATACCAGATCATTGTGCAGCTGATTGCATTCGATATGTGGCTCCAAATGAATTTTGTTTTAAGAAGCTTTGACAGCCGAATCTGACCAGTCATTTTAAGTTAGAATAAATCCCGAAAAACACGAAAATTATTGGGTCTCATAGTCCGGTATTTAAACATTGTGTATATATGTCGATTTATAAGATAATGTTTAGCTACAACTAATCTAAAGTAGTGTAATCTGCTCACAGTAACACAAACTAAGTTGAACATTTTTCTTACTGCATAATTACTAATTTTACTCGCATTTCTACCATAATGAGCACAATGGAAACTTCTTAATTTTATGTCGCAACTTACAAAATATACTTACATTTCCCATCCGTGAATCTATATTCCTTTCGTTATGGTTAGTTTGAATTTGACAAAACAATATCTCAAGCGCAATTACTTTCTATGCGGTTTAAAATTTTCTTCAAATGCAATCTGTAACTTAAGTCATTATGCACGTTGATCAGTTTGCATGCTAACTGTATTGAATAGTTATTTAAAGTCAAACATTTGTTAAATCCAAGAAAATAATACAATAATGACAATGAAGCATAGCGTTGACGCCACGGTATTATTTCGCTGTTTACACTGTTACATTTTGGCAACCTTTAAAATATCCATGTCACTACTTGCAGCTAATGGTTAAAGTTGCAAATAACTACCTTTTCATTTTTCCTGGTAATTTATGTATGCAAATTCGACTATTACTTAATTTATATTTAGTTTATATTAGTTAAATGATTAAGCGCACTGCTAATACACTTTGTGAATTCATAAATCAACACTGTCATCAAGAAAGCAATAGCACTACTTTTGTTACATTTGTAACTACCATTTCAATAAACCTCGTAATGTACTTAAGAGTTCAAAGTTTGTTATAGTCGATCCATATCCGCAGACACTATAAATCTTAGCTTCATTAGCCAACATCATTTATTAAAGACGTGCTACACGCTTTCGCCCTTCAACTGACAAGTCTTGTCTCAAATTCCACCAATCATGTACGAATGGAACAATTTGGTTGCGTGTCATTTCGTTTTGATTGGATGGCCTAGTTAGACCCAACTATCTATTGTAGGTGGCTTGTAATCTACTTCTAGTGGAGTATTCCCAGTATTTAAAGCTGGATTCTTATGATAAACCGTACGCTACTTTGGAAATTTATGAAAAAACCAGCGAAGGTTGTTGAAACTGAATAATGTATGGCGCTGCAGCCAGTGGGAAAAAGAGACACGGTAAGTTGTGAAGGAATATTATTTCTGAATTTATGTTTAAGTATCAACAATACATTACCAGTAGGGAAATTCACAAGTGGTTTCATGTATACAAGCACAAAATCGGCCCCCGTAGTACACTGAAGTTCTTTTAAGAAAACGCATTTATCACAGATAACAATATTAGAAAGCGTGTATGTCTCTAGTTCAAGTTATAAGTCAGAACAAAAGCACGCTGTGAGTCCTGGTATATATTTACTTTCACTTTTGCATTTCTATTGTTTGCCTATGTTTATATGGTCATTATATTAGTAAATGTGTATTTTCGAATATAGGTTTTGTTTAGCAGTGGAATATTTTCATGATTAAATCCTGAGATTTAGTGTTTAGGCTGCACATATGCAATGCAAGTTATGCTGCGAATGCATACAGGCGACTGATTGCATAATCAGTTTAGTTCCGAATACCGTTAAGATAGTGTGCTTCGAAGAGGTAATCGACTAAATACCGGCTTTTAAGCTGCGTACGCCTTGTTAGGTAGAAAGAAATAAATATTGGATTTGATAATGTTCGTCTACCCACCATGTTATAACCATTACACTTGCTAATAATTAGTTTCACTAGACAGTAAAATAGAGAACCGGGGTTTATTTTATCAGGATGGGTAGAAAGTGATCCATTCCAGTATGTCTTATCCGCTCATAAATTTGTGTAGTATATTTTGCCGTGTGGGTAAATCCGTTATTCAAGTCCCATGCATTCATGGAAGCTAAACGTTTGTCTTAATGTTTAAAATGAGCTAATAATGTCTTGTTTAACCACAGCTCCATAATTCGCTCTAACCTTGACTGATATATATAGCTATATCATAAAGCTACATTAACCATAGTTTTTGGTATACATATTGCATGGGCGTGGAAAGTTCTATTCGTTCTGCACCAGAAAATGGAAACTTTTCGTTAAATATGGACGCCTAACTCAAACTAGTTATTCCTACAGGCAACATGCTTGAGGTTTGTATAAGACAAATTCGTGTCATAGTGAAAAGAAGCAAATACAGTGGGTCAAGTTCACGACAACGCTCTTAATATCTGCAGGAACATCATGTCCTTTCGATGACACGCATCAAAGTGACTGATCGTATTTGCGTATTGAAATGACTAACCCCACCTGGAATTCAATACCAACCCCAGTATAGTTTATAAATTGCTTGGGTCATTTCTGCAAAGACAATCTAAAGGATTTGACATGATCTTCGTTTCGTCATGTTTACACTAGTGCAATCCTACCAAGGTGGATTGAAGCAAACCTTTGTGGCGGTACACGTCTTTTTATTCGATTTATGAGCACGATATTCCACCAGTAGTAAACCAGTAACATAACTTATGCATAACACGCGATACCATTTTTACGGCATTAACTATTCTCCCTTTGTATGCAACCTACGCATATAAATGATCCGGCTAATCATTTGGCTGTGAATAAAAAATTGCTTTTGTAACCGAATCAACTTGTTTGGTTTTTACCCAAATTTAAATCAAACTCATTGCTAGAACGTAAATATAAACCTAAAGCCGTCGGTTAAAGCAAGTGTATACAATATATATATATATATATTCAATAGCATTTTGCTAATAATATAACGGGAATATCGAAAGAACTAAACTGTTAAAATTGCCATAGGATTTTTCACATGTAGCAGACTACTTTCTAGTATTTGGTGTAGTCCAAACTAACATAATCGACAGATTTATTAACTTTCGTTTGTTTATCGAAATTCACAGTGCATAAAATAAAATATAGAATGTTTTGCATGCTGGTCAGTCTGATATATGCTAGATGTGGTTATATTTACTTTTGAAGTTTAACATAGGCAATACGTACTACTTTATAAATCCCGCAAAATCGCTTCCTTAAAGAAGTAAAAAGTGGGTTTTTAATTCGTCGAATAGTTTTAACAAAACTGTTAGCTTAACAGACTTCAGTATAGTAATTTTTATTTCAAAAGCCAGAAAACATTTTCCCGTTCTTTTCTAATAGCAAGCTATTTGTCTTGCTGCATGAATTACTGAATTTGATCAGGGAAAATTGAAACGACGGTTTTAACTTCTGCAATCTCTTTTTAAAACGTGATGATTACCTGTGTGACACCGCAGCTGAAAACAAGATACAATTAATGGACTCAGAAATTGATTCATCTGCAACTCTAAATAGTACTGAGAAGTTTACTGCTATAAAAATGCTATGTCAAAAACGAGTATTGCTCGCATAAAACAAGGTATTCTAGTAACGGTTTCGGACTTGTTTGGTACATTGGGATAGATATGACAGAGAGTCGAATCAAGCGCACTTGAAATCTAATCGTCCAGGCTTGTGTCAGAAAGTAACTCATTTGCAGCATATAACAATCCGAAAACGATCTCGAAAACTCCGTGTGTAAATGCCTGTATGCTGGGGGACCATGTGGATTTGAAACCCGTCATAAAGTATTTAGGTTTTAAGAAGCGGACTCTAAAAGTCTAGCTGTTTCATTAGTTACAGTACCAGCAATGTAACCGACCAATTCACGCCAGTGTGAATGACAATTCACATTGAGGATAAATGTCGCAATTTATTCACAAAACAAGTACCATAAATGGTTCTTTCGACCTTATTAGTAGAGCCTTTGATCATCAGGTGCGAATTTCTTTAACCGTTTCCAGCAATTTGGGCTAGTAGAGAGCTTGTTATGTTTGCAGATACGTTGCAAAGATAACGCAGATAACACAGATTTGCTTGCATATTTCCTAGCTATCGACGACCCTGTGTAACTGCTGAATTTCCTTTGCTTAGAACGCCAGTCAAAATTGACTAAACTTCAAAACTTTATGTAAGTTGGTTTGCAAATGCACTCAATATATTTAGTGTAGCGTCAGAGTTAACTGATATAAGAGGGAAATTTAAATACTGGAGAAAACAACAGTGACTACTAAAAGCCAGATTTAACCATCAAGATTATATGACAAAGTGCCTATCGGTAAAAAGCGAAGAAATAATGCAAAATAAACAATCGATTTACACTTAGTACAAAAGAATTAATGTGTGACATATAAATCCAGGAGTTTATCGATTCCGCATAACAACGCACTTAACATAAGGAGTAAAACAGTTTAATATAAATCAGAAAGCGTTATAAAATATACCAGGGCAAACCTTTGGTGAAAATATATTTTAATAATGAATATATTCTTCTGCCCTTACGTTTAAACGATCAATTGCCAACGGGCCGGTCAATATAAAATCTCACATCAAATTGGTTTGCTATTAATCTACTATACGCCGATATCTTTGCTGCATCAATCGACCTACAAATACTAACAGCAATGTGAAAATATTTTTAGTACATTTTTATTCGAATTTCCCCAAATGCTGCAAAGCACTTAAAATAAATAATTATCTTTTATAACCTGCCACAAGCGGATGATATATTGTAAGAACTACTTAAAAGTTTTACGAATATAACCAATTTTAATACATAATTTGAAAATAGAGATTAGTCCATAATATTGTAAAAAACTGGTTCATCTCAATTAGTGCATCAAGCAAACTTAATACGATTACCTATGTCACGGAAGTTTTCTGGAGCTTAATGCGTTCCATGTTTGCAAAACATTCTTAACAATGACTTTGGATTTATTGAGGAAACCTTTCTAGAAACAATGGTGGAAGAATTACAAATAAGGATAGATTCTATGAACATAATTTTGTTTTAATTTTAAGTTGTGCTGACTAAGCGCATTGGTCAGCGATGCAAAGATGTTTCGTGGGCAATATTTGAAATTAAATCTTAATCATTGTCATATATCTGTGTCTCCGGAGAACAATAACAATTAATTACATCAGAAAGTGGGTTGTCTATTTACACACGCATAGGTTGCTGTTGGAAACCATGGACAATTGCCTGCTATGGAAACAGCCAAACCACAAATCAAGTGGGCTCTGGAACTTATAGGCCGCCTATACCTTTCACTTATTTCTGAAACCGCTGCTTTCTTATATTGAAAACAGAATGCGTTTGGCAATATTACTGCGTACAGTAAAATTGTGGCCTGCATTACAGAAGCTTTTTTCATCCGCTTATATTTAGTAAACCGAGTATGACCCAATGGTGAATTCGACATTTCGAACGACCTCATTTTTTCTCCATTCGATGATTAAACCCAGAAAACGTACAATGTTCTTAAAATTGATTTTATTATCTCTAGCCTAAATATAATAATAAAAGTAGCGAACAAGCTTAATTTTAAGGAATCCCCATTAAGTTACACAACCACAACGAAACAATTTACTAAAAATCAATGGGTTTAGATGAGGTCACTGAAGCCGAGTAACTAATCGCTAAGTCAACGTGCTTGGAGTTGTTGAGGTGAGGTCAGGTGAAATAGCGTGACTCATTGTTACTCGCATTGATCTGAGGAGAACACAGGGTTAAAGTAATGACAAGTTTTTTCTGCGCACATAATTCCGGGTTATAAAGCCGAAATGCGATCGCCTCTGCTAACGACAGCAGGCGACACCTGACTACCCTTGTATAACATCCGGGTTCACAATAGATCGGTGTGAATGCGTCATGCGAAGGGCTACCACTCAGGTCGAACCTAGATATGTGTAACTCGCCACCGCCTGGTGGCTTGTCAAACGGCTGGAATCAGTCAGGAAAGCCATAGTTAGATACAGTCAAAAGGACACCTTTTATTTCCTTGACTTAGGGAGATAACTTGAGCTAGCTGGTCGACAGATGTTTTTCTTAGATATGGCGTCCCTTTTTAGCAACGTTCCTTTGGAGGAAACCATAGATTATCTGTGTTAATTCGTCCAGCTGCGCAACATCGACGTTGGTATCCCACCAGACCGTTTGAGACAACTGCTACTCATATGTACGATAAACATTTAGTTTGAGTTTAATGGAACGCTCTATCTACAAATAGACCGGGTGGCAATGGGCCCACCATTAGGACCGTTTTTTGCGGACGTCTTCATGA